ATAAAACTTAGAGGCCCGATGCATGAATTCGTACACCAGGGGGTCCCTTGGCCTGGCCTGTAGGGCTGAAACAGGCTCTCCGACATCCCCCAAGGGGTCCTGGATTGCAAGAGGGTGCAGGCCAGGCCAGGTACCCACCGGTGTATGATTGGGGCCGAGGAAGGGCGTGGGAGGTTGGCCCACTGGGGAGGGACCACAGGAGGGCTCCAGGGCATGTCTAGCCCATCTTGCTCAGTCCTGATCGGCCAGACCCCAGCAGCAAGCTAACCTACCAGTCAGAGCGTCTGCCCCCTGGTGGTCAGTGCACATCATAGTGACTGGTTGACCGGTTGACTGTCGGCCCCCTGGTGGTCAGTGCATGTCACAGCAAATGGCTGAGTGGCCTTAGCATATCATTAGCATATTACGCTTTGATTGGTTGAATGGACGACCAGACTCTTAGCATATTAGGCTTTTATATATAGGATTGTTGATATAATAGCTTTGAATTAGTAACTAAATGCTGTTCTTTTTATTCCTTTTGCCTAATTTAGTTCAATTGGTTCCCAAATGTCCCAGATTTGAGCAGTGTAGGATGACCTTGTCCTGCAGCCAAATATTTGCCTGCCCCCCTGCTCACCTCAAAATGCCATTTTGTTGTAGAGAGAGGATTTAGAAAGTCACAGAGGAAGGGTCGACTTAAGATATAAACAATGAGAGGGGATTAGAATGAAGGATCACTTTACTGAAGTGACCTGATTCTTCAGAGCCCGAGCAGGGCGCAGTCCTACAGGTCGACTCACCACCTTAGTGTTTTAGTTCCCGGTGTTGTTTTTAGCAACATTAGTGAGTTAACAACACTAAGGTACTACTACTCCTGATAACATAAAGAACTGAGATTTGCCAAGTTCTTAATATGTGCGAGGCAATAGTCTAGGATAGAACAAAATAGAATAGAATAAGCCACACAAGCTTCAATTTGTAGATTTTTTTTTTATTCCTAAGCCCACATTGTATTCTTGAAGCACAGTTTTTATATGGGTCTCTAGAACTGAACCTTTCGTTACTGCATCAAGCCTGTAGACTTAACAGATGCTAAAGCCCCATCCAGTACTTGGACCATACTTATTGCACTATCCAGAGCACCCCTACCAACCCAAGCTACACAAAGCAAACATCCCATTGGGATATGTTCTTGGGGGGCCTTTTTGTTGCTCACGGCCATTTTATTTTCTATCAGTTCACCGTCCTCTAGGTCAGGTGCTGCTGAGAAGCCAGGCTTGATTAGTTGCGATCTTCCTGCTCCCCTATCTGCAGGAACTCAATCCTATTTTGGTCCATTTTCTCATTTATTTTAAAAATATTTTGACCTAGAGAACCTGGTTTAATGGGAACTCTGGCATTTATGGGCTGCCTTTTGAGTTATGTTTAATAAACTAGTGACCCGTCACGCAAAATTGCGTGAGACACAGGACCCTGCTGGCCCTGCCCCCACTGCCCCGTCCCCGCTGTGCACGCCACCATCTTGTGATGGCGTTACGGCATGAGGGTCAATTTGCATATTACTTCTTCATTCTATAGGATACTTGATACTTACAATGTTGATAATTATGACAATTTAAGTGATGTGCTAAGCAGCTGGGAAAATATAAATTTGGCTCTAAGAGGGGAGAACAAATGCAGGTGATAATTTTAAGTCTAAAGACACAATCCTATATAATAAAAGCCTAATATGCAAATATACCAAACAGTGGAACAACCAGAACAACCGAATAACCAAACAACCGGTCACTATGACGTGTGCTGACTACTAGGGGACGTATGCGGAACATGGTGGGCGTTGGCCATGGCAGGATGGTGGAGCAGGTAGCAAGGGTGCCAGACCAAGGCGGGGCGCCAGTTGTTGTCATCAGGGTGAGCCTCTGGTAGTTACTGAAAATTCTTTGCTCCCGCATGCCACGGTCCTGCCCCGCACTCGCACTTGCCGCCAGTGTTGGCCCCGCTTGCACCTGCAGCCAGCGCCAGAGCCACTGCTTGCACCCACTGCCGGTGCCTGGCACCAGTCCCAATCACTTGGTGCCATCAGCAGGTGTGAGCAGCGGCTGCCGGCCCTGATCACCCCTGAGGGCTTCTCCATCTCCCCCTGCTCCTGAGGGGTGATCGGGGCAGCAGCCACCACTTGCACCCACTGATGGTGCCAGCCACACTCGCATAGGCTGATGGCGCTTGCCCCAAGCGCTCTGCGCTGTCAGCAGGTGTGAGTGTGGCTGGCACCATTAGTGTGTGGGAGTGGTGGCGGCCGGAGTGGGGCTGCTGGCAGACAGGAGACTGGGGGCCACAGCAGGAGGGGCTGGGCGGGGAGTGGAGGATGGGCAGAGACCTGCCCCTGTGCCGACTGCAGCCTCACGGCCCACGGTTCCTTTCAAGGTGCATGAATTCATGCACTGGGCCCCTAGTCTATAATAATAAAAGCATAATATGCTAATTAGACCAGACAGCCAAATGACCTTATGGACGATCTTTTGGACGAAGCCGGGCCTGCGAGGGCCGAGCCCTTTTCACAAATTTCGTGCATCGGGCCTCTAGTTAATTAATAAAAAAACCTGGGTCCCTAGGCTCAGGGACTGCCTAAACCCTCTCCCAGGTTTAGGGTGTCTAGTTATGGACTCATAGTAGGTGATTGCTTGGGATTAGGACAAAGACAATTATATTTACTTCATTGCTCCTGATATCTGGCCAGCACTAGAGCTTTGGGGTATTCAGGGCATTTGGAAGAAGCCCTGCCAAAAGGAGCCATTGGGTCTAAAGCAGATGGTAACGGAGGCCACCGTAGAGAGAGGCCTCTTTCGGGAATGGTACGCCAGTGTGCAGAGGGGCAGGGCCAGGGCAAGAACACAGAACGCACCATGCTTGCTTTCATGGGATACCAGGAGGATCAAATTACCCTTTAAACGTGAGTTTGAGCCCCAAGAATGGTAGACTTGGCTGGGAAGCATGGCAGTAAGTTCTTTCTAGCTTGCAAGCTTCAGGAAGTAGCTTCCGACCCTTCATAACTCTTTACCTGGAAGGTTGCCCACCTGCAACCTGCAGCTACATGCCTCAGTTTCCCCTATGGTCTGCCACAGCCTCTTTCCTTGCCCTGTACAACTTCTTTTTCAGATTAAAAAAAATGAAATACTATATATTTAGAGAATGTATCTAATTGAATGTGTGGTCCACTTGTTTTTTAGAAAGTGTGCAAGTACTGTTTAATACATATGGTGCTTCTACTACTTTCTATAAATATTTAGTGATTAGATATTGGATAAGTTATGCCTCCTTGTAACACTCTAACAGTGGAAAAATCTGATTCAACTCATTATTTTTAACTCAACATTTTCCTGACACATTCCATATTTTTTAGCATTGTCCATACTGTATACATTTATATACTGCCAGGAAGCTAAATCAACTTGTAAAGTATATTGCAGAATAAAAACACGTATTTATATGTTACAAACACTTAAACAATTCAATGTAGAGATTTATACATAGGTTTTATAAGTAGGAAGATAGAGACAATTGAATTAGTACATAAAGTTTTTATTTCAAGTCTCCCCCTTCCAAGCAAGCTTCATTTACACATTCTAATAGTGTACAAAATTTACATCCTCTGTGACTTATTTATTCACTTCCCACTAATAGTTTGTGTCCTTCTGAAGTACAGAAAGCTTTATTTATTGTCCTCATAAATGCTTTTTTAAATTTTCATTAGAAATAAAAAATAAATGAAGAACAAGCGTAAGGAAAGCAAATATCCGCGTATAAACGGCGACATTCAGACGGGGTGGTGACAGGTGACAGTAAAAGGTTCGGAGCAGACCTTGTTCTCTTCATGACGTCAGCTGGGATTTCCCCACAAAGTACTGTACTTTTTCTTGCTTTCTATATATTCATATGCTTTCAAGGAAAAGGAAATGAGGGCTAATTGCACTGGGTATATATTTATATATATTTTACAATGGATCCTTTGGATCTGAACATACAAATAAATACAAAAACAACAAAGATTGCACTTGACTGTAGAGACGCAGCGGATTCCGGTACACCTGTCCGTCTTGGCGTGTCCGTAGTGAGAACTTGGTGCCAGGCGGTTCCCAACTGTGGCTTCCCAGGCTGCTGTTCTGAATGCCACATTTGCCAAGGGACTCACAGACATCTCTGGGTGATTAAAAAAATATTTTAGGCTTTTATTGACTCCTACCAGATGTTTTCCAGATCCAAAGAGCGTGAACATCAAATTCCTGTTGCTGCCAGTTTGGTTGGTTTGATTGGCCCCACTGAGACCATCTCCTGCCCTCCTGCCCTCCTGCCCTCCTGGGCCTGAGCTCCCCAGGCTCCGGCAAACACCGAGCTACGGCCCACTACGCTGAGCTCAGGCGTCTCTGCTGATAAGCGTAGGATGAGTTGGGGGAATGACCAGGGTAAGTCATGTGCTTTCCTAGAGCCCACTCTAGAGCCATTTCTAGAGCCAAGGGGAGGAAGAGGGTGTTTGTTAGGAGCGATGGCTTGCTCCTGTGTCTCGTAGGTCATGTGTTTTAGGGACAGAGAGACAACTGGGACTGTCATAGAAATTACTGACAGAAATTATGCTTTTAGCTCCTGAATTCCTGAAAGCTATCTCCCAGTTTTCCTTGTGGGTGAAGTTTGGGTCAGATACGTTACCCAACAGAAAACACAATATTGTCTGATTGCCTGCCAATCCTACCGTTTGGAGCAAATACCGGGTGTTCACTACTTGCTTATATTCTGCAAAAAAAATGAGCAAGACTCCATGGACCGAATAGTGACATAGTGTATTTTCTTTTAATCTTTCAGACAAAATTGAGGACACAGAAATGATGACTTTGGCTAGCCTGGAGCCTCCGGGGCGGAAAGCAATCGCTACAAGAGCCAGCCTCCTTCTCCTCTCTCATCCCCCGAGGCTGGAAGGGGCAGAAGGTCTATGAAATCAAGATATATAGAAACAGAAGTGCTTCTCTTTAACCTTCCGTGATTCTCTACAACCGTGTTGCCTATGGAGTCTGTGATGGAGCCGCAGGTTAGGAATATAGAATCAAGTGGCACTTCCTGTAATGCAGGGTACATATTTTAGTGGGTCCAATTTTGAGTCATTCATGAACACGATATCCCCAAAACGTCAACAAAGACCACATGCAGGTAGACTACAACGCACAATACTGATCGTAGGTCTCTCTGGGGCGCTCGTCGGTGTGTTTCCTGTCTCCTTTTGAAAGTTCAGATCCTCGGGAGGCGTTTTTGTCAAGCTGGGACAAGTTCCAACCAGCCTGAAACGGAAGCGTCTGTCACCACCGGGGAGTTGGTTGTGATCCGAGTCACAGACACAGTATCTGCTCAAGAGCAGGTCTTCTTCTTTTGCGGTTGCTTGTACAGCCTCAGCAACCACTCAAATGCACCGTCCCTAGTGTAATAGTGATGTCACCTGTCGCTGTTTCCTAGAGCGGACACCGTCACTCCAGGGCTTCCTGGCGTCATTTGTTGTAAGGGACGCAGGCGGGCAGGATGACCGGGGCGCAGGCGGGCCCTGCCAGCGGCTCCGCCACGTCTCCCTCCAGCTCTGTCCAGCTGCCTTTCTCCGGACAGTAGCAGATTGTGGACGACTTGTAGGCCCCCTGCAACGGCAGAACAGAGCACTTAGGGAGCGGGCTCGGAGAAATGCAAGGGCAGCCTACTGATCCCTTCACCCCGCAAAGAAAAGATGAGTTCTCTGCTCTTGTTTAAAAACTCCCACATGAAAGCAGGGGGTTTGGACCTGTTTTAATCCAATGGGAAATTTGAGACGGACAAAATTTTAAAATCGGTTTTTCTGCGTGTGTCACTAATAAGAAAAGTTAAGTACCTAGAACATCCTGGATAATCAACAAATCCCTTAAAATAATTGACCAAAAAAAATAGGAATTATCCTGGTGGTTTAAGTTTTAAAAATTTCACCTTAAATAGTCAAATGATTAAAGTAAATTGGATTTTAGATCGCTGCCTCACATTTCCATTTTTATGTCGCTCCTGTAGAAGGGATTAGCGCTGGGATTCAAAACCGGGTTAAAATGAACTGGGGACGACAGCTTGCTGAGCTCTTCGCACACTGATTGATTGATTTTCAAGAGGCCACGTGAAAAACAAACAAAAAGCTTGTTCCCTTTGTCAACCTCTGGGGTTGGCGCTTGTATAACATTTCCCTTCCCAGACCCAAGCAGCTTTCTTTTTATCGCAGGGAACAAACAAAATTCCCCACCAACCGAACCATCACTTTCTGAAAGTGACTCCTGGTGTCTGGTTCCAAACACGGGTACTCTGGCGGCTAACAATGTGCGCCAGCAAACAGGCACACGTACTGATACCTAGTTACATATGTCAATACAGATGTGCCTCCATATAACTAATGTCTTTTTTTTTTTTTTAGAAAAATGAAAGCTGATTTTTATTTTATCATCAACAGCCATTCTTTAAACATGAACACGCATACGTAATACTCTACGCACACATCACAGTTTTAACATTAGTTAATAAAGGTTAAACACACAACACACATCCTTACAAAAAGGTCAAAATGCAAACTTAAAACTTTAAACAAAAAACTAATATCTTTTTAAAGCTCCCCCCAGAACTTTACATAACTCCCTTGTTAGATGCGAACAAAAATAACTAAACTCACATGGTTAAAACCCTGAATTAGTCTTACAAAACTAACACATATAAATAGAAAAAGAGGAAAAGTCATCTTTTAAAAAGCGATGGTAGACACTAGACCCTAGGTGTCACGCCTGATGTGACGTTAGTTGAATTATAGAGCCTCAAGTGTTTCTGCCACAAATAAATAACAAAAATTTTTTTAAAAGAAGAGCTGAATTTAATTAAGCCTTTATCTCTAACTTCCAGTCTATAGGAAATATGGACACAGATGATTTTTAAATGACGCCACCAGGACGTCACTAGCTAACTGTAGAGTGTGAGGTGTTCTATGGGACTTACCCTGCTTTTTCATCTGGTCAGAGGCATGGAACAAGAGTGGGAGAGAGGCAATGCTGCACTGTGTAGGAGATGTGTAAGAGCTAACAACTCCTACAAGTGAGACACGTGTTAACACATCAACGTGAAAAATACATTTTTTAAATGAATAGGAGAATATTCAGGAGAATATTATTTTGGATATAAAGCAATTATTGTTGATTTTGTTGGGTGTGATAGGGACTGTGTTTACATAAATGAATCATTTTAAAAAGATAAATACTGACACATTTAGAATAAAATAATATGATGTCTAGAATTTGCTTCAAATTGCTCCAGTAAAACAATTTTGAAGGATAAATGGGGGTAAGTGTGGCGAAATGTTGATGGATGTTGAAGTTGGATGGTGTGTTAATGAGGGCCCACTGTGCTCTGAATGTTGGGGTGTGCTTGGAAATGTAATGATAAAGGAGGGAAAGTGAAGCACAATGGCAAATTACATATCCTAGACGGAATGTGTGGGTATTAAACAACTGGTTTCCATTTCCACGCCTTACTGGGCAGAAACTTTTCAGACTCTCCTATTCGAACAATTTCAACAGAACATTTATAAAGCCACTTTAGTCTGACTTTTCCTTGGAAAGCCAGAATTGCAACAGCATGGGGAAGGAGAGAACCCGAGACCTAACCCATTTATGACACAGCCAATCAGAGAGCAAGTCAGCTCTACCACAACCACACGGATTCCATTACTAAAGTAATTTACTGTTTGCATATAAACACGATAATTATTATTATTATTTCTTTTCTTTTTTGAGCACAATACTCTTAAAAGGGACATGCATGGGTGGTAACACAT